AATACAGACTGAAAATTGTACAAAAAGTTCCTAAAAATTATGAGGAATGAATTGGTTCTGTACTGTTGTTATGTATTGAATACAATATAAAGCAAAGTACGTCACTTAGTCAGGGGTTGTAAGTTTACTCAATGATAGAAAAGAGCTCCCTTAAGAAAAGAGGTTGGGAATCGCTGGCTAAGAAGTTCTATAAAAGTTGCAAAATCTCTCTGTGATTGATTTTGTGTGTATGACATAGACCTCATACCAGTGCCACCTCATATTTTTCCAATTTGAAGACCTAACATTTAAAAAAATATGATACATTTTTCTACTGTCCTAGAATTTTCCCAGACTGTATTTTTGTGTCCTAGGAGAGAAATCTACACATGTGCACCAATTATAACTGAAGTCACATGAAACTTTTCCTAATTTTATCATTGTAAATATAAAATATATAATGATATACATTATAAAACATAAAAAAACTAAAATAATCCCACTCAATGACCATCAAACCTAGAGGAAATTATGTTATGTGTATATGTGTTGTGTCACAAAAACAATGTTTATATTGAGAGTCATTTAGTCAAAACAGAATCACTGCATACCAGCGCTGTCAGTGTAGACGGAAGTAACACTGTTTGGTCACTGAATGCTCTATCACACTGGAAGAAACATCACACCAATCAGAATAATCTGAGTCTCTCCTCTCTGCTTGCACACAAATAAACTTGACACACTCAAGCTTTTCAATGCAGTGTACAAATATAACTGAAAAGAAAAGTTGACTGCACATGCTGGTTAAAGCCTCTATTTTATACATCACTTCAGCTGTTCAGCATTGCTGTCTCTCTGACCTTCAACCGCCTCCTCTTTTGCACCGCTAGTTTGGCTAGAAACTGGCTCAGCTGCTGCTGAGAGTAAAATATTATATTGTGTTTGTGATAAAAAAAAGAAATAAGATTTCTCTTTTTTTGTTTATCTGGAAAAAAAATATATAAAAATGAAAAAAAAAAACCTGACTCAGCAGAACCACTGACAGATAAAAAGAAACACGAACATGGCTGAAAGCCTCCTACAAAGCCCAGCATGTGACGCATTTGGTCCATTACCTGACAACTTTTACTGTTTATTTGGCACTGTAATACAAAACAGCACCCTGTGGCCAAATATAACTAGCAAAGAATAACCTTCTGAAGTGCTGAAACAATGTACAATGTAGCATCAAAACAGTAAGTAATGGAGCATCAAGCACCCCATTTAGATCTAGTATTAAATGTTATGTTAATAACTGATTCGATCATGGCTTTTGCATTTAAACCTGGTATTTTGATATCTTCTTGTTATCCTCTTTGAGATTAGATGTCTATCCTCCTGGTTGGTTGAGTTAGGGGAAACTTTAGAAACTTTATAAAATGCTGTCTAAGACAAATTCTTAGTCCTCTTTTGTAAATTCAGTTTGTCCCAGTGTGTTGGTTACTCTGACTCGATAAATTGTATGCCTCGTTAACAGCAGATAAACTGGACAAATGCTGTTTGCATTTTCTACTGGCATTCATTTCCACCCATATTGCTTTTCATGTGAATAACATCTTTCATGGCACAGAATAGACACAAAATCAGTAATTAGAGGCGTGTCTCTTTCAGCCTTAACATTTGCTCACTCCTTTAATTTGAACACAAGCTATATTTTACGATGGCTTAAAACAAAAATCTGTGTCAGTTATATTATTTATGGATGCCAGCACGGACCCACCTACCCAAGATCACACAATGCAATAATAAATAATAATAAAGCACAAAAATAGTAAAAAAAAAAAAAAAATGACTAAAACTGCCACTGACCAGTCAGATGAGACGCAATGCAATATGGGAAAGAAGAAAAACTTCTTGCTAATCTAGTATACTTCCAGGCATTTCTCTCAAAACAAAAGTCACACACACCCAAGGTCCACCCACACAGGCATTTTCCGTTTTTGATTAGACCTCTGCTCAGGACTGTGAAGGCTCGCCTCTTTATTAGTTACACCTAAACAATCTAATGCAATTGAGTACAACAGCTGTGCCATGTTTTCCACGTCATCAGCTGTCACCACATAAGGTTGAATCCTACAGTAAATGGATAAGAGGTCAAAATTAAGCTCTTTGGAGCCAGTGTCTACATTTGGCCAAAGATTGGTTGTGAGGGAAGAAGCTCCATTCTACAATACTGCTGTACATTCGCAAGTGGACAAAGCTTCTGTAGTTGCCAAAACACCAACAGAGTGATACCTCTTCTTCTCTCTAGCCAACTGCCTCACATCAATGTCAGGACTTCTATTCCTCCTAGTTTAACTTTCATTCAGATCATGTCAATAATTCCAGTTTAGAAGTTTCATAGTTTCACACCACTTAACTGGCAACTCAGTTTATTAGGTGCACCTAGCTAAAAGTAACAGTCTAATATAACAGTAGTGTAATTTATCCTCCCTTCATGAAGGTTCTAATGCTCAGTTTTAGTCTCAGAGGTGTTGATTAAACTAAATAGTAATTTTGCATCACATTACAAAAAAAAAAAATAGTAATGCCACCTAGTCATGCAGGCTTTGAGAAATCCATCATCTCTACCAGAACACAATGGAGATGAATGGAGTTTGGTGTCTGTGGCTCAAAGGACTGAAATGTTTTGTTCTTATTTGTCACAGGGATTTCTTGACTATAAAGTAGACGTTGTATAAATTGTTCTGTGGATTATCCAAAGTAACAGGGACACTGTTTCTGAAAAGGGATGTGGCTGTTAAAAATTATTTTTTTGTGCTGCACCACAAACTAAACTGTCCATTGTGTTTAGGCTGTCTGCAGAAATACTGATCCTACCATCTACATGTTAGGTACCACTAAAAGTGTACCAAGTAGTCACGCTAATAAAAATAATCATAAAATTGTTGAATAAAATCTTAAAAGGGTAGAGAGTAAAATAAGTCCCAAAACACAACCCAGTTGGTTTCAAAAACTGTCTTCAGATTTCAAAAAGGCCCACGCCCAAGTTATAAATTCACTGCTGGGGTTAAGAAAAAAACAGTGAAAATGAATTTAAAAAAGCTGTTGTTACCTGTAGTCCTTTAGGGAAAACTCAAACATTAATGTATGTCGTGTCTGAAGCAGAGGAGCTTGTGGTGTGGCCACAGTGCCTGTAAGACACAAGCAGAAAAGTCCAACTTACAGTTTGCAAGTTGTAAAATTAACTTTCTATGCCCTCCAGACATGTATTAAGTCATATATAAATAGTCTGCTTGCAACAATGTGTGTCTGATATGTTTTTTCCACAAACATTTTTTATAATTTCCACATTAAATTCCTTAAAAAGCCATCTCCTCTTTCTACCTGATTAAAAACTCCAGAATCGCTGAATATGTTCCTTTCTACAGTTGTCCTGCTGGACACAACATGTCTCCTCCTTCACTGTAAAGTCC